TGGCAAGGAGTATAATATCATCGTAATTAACGTTTTTACCACCTATTCTCACTCCACGCCTATTTCTTCATTTAAGCCATTTCAATAAGGGAGAATAGCACCGGAGATAAAAATCAGCCATGTTTCACACCACTTAGTGTCTCAAAAAATTCTGACATGCCCTCTCAGTTCCAGACCATACCTTTAAATAAATTCTTTATTATATTTACTAATTTGCTTAACAATCCATTGTTTGATATTTTAACCATCATTTGTCTCTTGAATCATGTCAATATATACACAAATGTATGAAAATTAAGAAGATAAATTAAAATATGAATAGTAAGAAGATGAAAATAATACAAATAAAAAGATATTTTTGTTTAAAAGTTTTGGAAGAAAACGGACGTACGTTAATATCTAAAAGGCTTATCGAAAATATGAAATGAAAATCAATTTATTAACTTTGCTTTATTTAACTTTTCTTGGTGTTTTGTTAATTGGTGTTTTTAGTTATGTTATGAAAAACTTTATGTTTGAATTATTTGTTGAAGATGTTTTGACAAGCGTGAGAAATATTGTGTTATATTTGAAACAAAACCGGACTCGATAAAAAGGGTGAGTGCTTGTAATACAGTGGCTGAGTGGTCGGCGATAGCATCAAGGAGGGTCAGAGAGGAAACGATCGAGCCTCCAGAATTCCAGGTGATGGACTGGTGTAGCGTGATACAATTTCGCGGAGAAATTTACCGGAATGAACACTCGGCCTTGTTCCACCAACTGTCTCTCTTTCTCTCAGAATGAAACCAAGGAATCTGTTCATGTAGTGTATTTACGACCTGGGATGAAATAACAGGCATCGGTAAATCTAAGATTTTTTATTTTTTTATTTCAACGTTATTTTTAAATCCATTATATTTCGTGGGCCGATTGACCAAATAACTTCTTTCAATTAATTAATTTTTATGTAAGGTATGTTACTTATTTAATAAGGTTTTATGTAAATGAAAAATGGCAAAAGGAGGGAAAATTCGAAAGGTAGGTTGAGATGGGAAGTTGGTGACCGAGTGGATCGAAGTCACGATAGCTCAAGTGGTAGAGGAGCGGCGTATCTAGCCGAAGGTCGTGGGTTCGAATCCCACTCGTGACAATGACTTTTTTATCTCAACGAATACCTAACAGAATGATTAATTAATTGAAAGATGTTATTTGGTCATTCGGCCCACGAAATCTAATGGATATAAAAATTAAAATGAAATATATCTCACTAAAGCTCTCTGTGGCCATTTCATTTGTCGCCGAGAATCAAATAGATTACACGATATTTGAAAAATTGCAAAAAGGAGGGAAAATTCGAAAGGTGGGGTTGAGATGGGAAGTTGGTGTCAGAGTGGATCGAAGTCACGATAGCTGAACTGGTAGAGCAACGGCGTATTTAGCCGAAGTTCGTGGGTTCGAATCCTGCATGTGACACTTTTTCATTTCAACCAATACCTTACATAAAGATTAATTAATTGAAAGAAAATATTTTTAAATTTCTCTACACTACCTAACACACAAAATCTTAACTAATAAGTAATAATTTTTACATCGATTATAAATAATTTGTTTCATTTTGAAATAAGCTTGGACGACACAAATTTTTCAGCAGTCCGGCACAAAATGCAATCGGGTAATTTGAACTGAGCATAGCGCTCATATTTTTCATCTAAAATTTTTTATGATAAAAATGGATTTATCTTTAAGCTCTTGTATTGACTTTTACTTTTACGTTAAGCTTTATCTTTCACGGGTCAAACACAAAACAACTCGAAGTTTTTCGTCTGTTTTAATTGACCTTTTCTCTGTTTATTTTGCTAATGGGTTTAGTTTATCTCGTCTCGTTGTTTTGGGTGGAATCCCTGTCCACCCGACCTTCTTTCTATATTTCCCGAGAGGGGATAACGGCATGTTTGTAATGAAAACAAGCCTTTTAATAGCTGAGTTACGCCTGTAGGAAAGTTATGTTTAATGAATATTCAATAGGTTATTAAGAAGCCTAAGACTCCCGAGATCGCAGACCGGCCTGTTCTTTCTTACTCCGAGGCCATTATCCGGCTCGATGCCTTTCCACTAATTGCCAATTGAATATTTCAGAATGGCGTGATGGAATTTTTGCACAGGGATTTTATGTGACAGTGCACTATTATGAATTTGTCCTTGGTGCATACTTACAGGCACTAAAATTGAATCGCGGAGTTGGAATGTCTATAAATGTATATCTTACCTGAAACAAAATAAAAAATCATTAGCAATAATCGAACACAATTGATTTTGAAATTTTATTAAATAAGAACTATTTGAGACTTTTATTTAACGTGAAAATGTATTAAGAAAATGAAGGAATGAAAGGCTATTCCAATAGAAGTCGATTACTTCATTCCCTAGTTTCTAAAATTATATCGTATAGCATAATTAATTTTTTCAAATAAAATTAACTTTAATTTATTGTTATCCAATACGATATAAGTAGTCATGGTCTTTTTGAAGAATGCAAGAATGATATTCTGAACATTTAATTTAATTTTTAAAAGCTTGCTCATTTTGCTTGCGTTCAATTTTTCATCAAAGTGCGTTTTTATTTACTTTCAATTAATTATTCATTCTATGTAAATTCTTGGTTGAGATAAAATGTCAGTTTCACGAGCGGGATTCGAACCTTTTACTTTTAATGCCATTGTTGAACCGAAGTGATCGACTAATTATAAACTTTATAAACTGTATTTTCATTTGTTTTTATATGTGTGTTTGGTCTAATTCTTCCGTGTTTCTAAAATTTACTGCGATCCTGATTAGGCGTTAATTAGTTGATGCCAGATAAACTACTAATTTTTTTTCATTTACGTTTTAGAGGTCAATTGACCAAGTTACTCTTTCAATTAATTATTATTTCTATGTAAGGTCTTGGTTGAAATAAAAAAGTCAGCGTCACGAGCGGGATTCGAACCCACGACCTTCGGCTAAATACGCCGCTGCTCTACCACTTGTGCTATCGTGACTTCGAACCTCTCGGACACCAACTCTCCATCTCAACCTACAACCGTTCGAATTGTCCCTCCTTTTGCCATTTTGGTCGTGTAACCAGGATTGGATTCTCAGCGACTCATGAAGTGGCCACGGGGAGCAGTTTTAGTGAAGGGATACTTATTTTATTTATTAAATCCATTTACATTTTAATGGTCAATTGACGAAGTTACTTCTTTCAATTAATTATTTTTTCTATGTAAGACCTTGGCTGAGACAAAAAATGAGGATCGACGTCACGATAGCTCAAGGTAGAGTAGCGGTGAATTTAGCCGAAGGCCGTGGGTTCGAATCCCGCTCGTGAAATTGACTTTTTTATCTCAACCAAGATCTTACATAGGAAGAATAATTAATTGAAAGAGGTAACTTGGTCAATTGACCACTAAAACATAAATGGTTTTTATTTACTTGTTTTTAATTTTTAAAAGAAGTTTATATATCTAATGGAATAATTTTTAAGTAAACCTAATTTTTAAGTTTTAACCTTTAGAATTTAAATCGATGCGTCTAAAGGACAGTAGAGAGAGCAAATTTTCCGTAGCATCTGCCATATTTGTCAGTATTTACAGAACCAAGAAAATCACGCTTAAACTTTAGACAAGACCTCCAGAAAATTTACTGTCTAAGTGATTTTATATTTCGTTTCCGTAAGCTTACAATAATAAAAACATGAATCTTATAGGAATTTTAATGCTCTTTTCATTGATGTAATCAAATTTACAACAGGTTTAACGTTTATGCGATACAGGGGCTTCATTGGTCAACGATGTGAAAAATTGATTGAACACTAAAACTTAAAGTGAAGAATCGCGAATACAACTGAGAATCAAAGTTTGAACAATAAGGACGTTTTAGCTTTTTAGTACGATAACCTTCTGAAATATTGACGTCTGTTCATAGGACAGCCTGTATATTATTTGAAAACATTTTTTTTTGTTATCTGCACAAAATAAATATACATTGGGCAAATAGTACAGATAATTACATATAAATCTGGCAGGGATTATAAGGGTGGCACGTTGGGGAAAGAGTTAGTGCTGGAGGGTTAGGGGTGGAGAGATAGTTAGAGTGTAAATTGAGGAAGCGTGTTCGGATCAGATCCTTCCCGATAGGATTTTAAGGTCTTTATGGTTCATTTGATTACTGACGTAGAAGGGAGCGTTGAGGACACGGCGGAGAACTTTTAATTGAAAGGATTACACGGTTACTTTGCGATCGAGGACGAGCACTTATATGACATAGACAGATATGTCTATAGATATGTCAAGACAAGACGCGTTTTATTTGTTCAGCCTTTTTCCTTATTTTTAAGTAAATAAACTTCTGAAAGTGAATCTTTTTTGTGAAGGATTTCTTGATCCACGTTTGACATTGTTGTTTAGGTAACTCACTTGACTTTTTATCTTTGCTAAGTTTCTTTTTTGGGGAAAAATCGATTTTTCTTGATATCGTGATGGACCTTGCTCTCCGGGTTGATTTCAGTTGAAATTTTGATCGTAATAGGTACATTACATTAAATGCATGCAACTTGCCGTTAAATAACATTTCCTTAAAGTGTTTATAATACAACTACATTATTTACTATAAAATATTTCATAGATTGTATCATGTTAGTTGTGTTTTCAGTTTTCGATAAAGTAAATTGCCATAATGGTGGTTAATGACGGTGTTTAAAACCAAACCAGGGCTATTTAGGACAGAGAAAAAAGCAAGATGGAATCGAAAGAACAAAATCAGTGAAAATAATTATTTGCAGGATGGATAAAGAAATAACATGTTAGTTTTTTTATGTTTGGTCCAAAACTGGGAACAATGATCGACCATCCGAAAACCGGTTTCAATCCCAAACGAGACAAATTAATTCGGAAAGAAGGTAAATTATATTGTATAGGGGTTTAAATCTGGTCAGGGATAATACTCGGTTAAACGGGGGCCGTTCATCATTGTCAGGATCTTACCTTACGTTCATTAACCAACAGCGATGAGTTGTAAATCACAATTTGGCTAAACACAACCTCGATTACACGGCCGAAGAGCTTTGCAACCGCGGGCTATTTATTATTTCACGGAGAATCTGTTTTCTCAATTCGAATGCGTCAACCTTGTCTTAATTGAACAACTAATTATTCAAGGTTTGTTACAGGAATCAGCGGTCAGCAATTATGACGCTCATGCGTTAAGCGAACGACAAGAAATCCTTTGAACACGCAAAATGCTGAATGGACTCGACCGTAACACGAGACGGTACAAAGTTTCTTATTAACGAAATTACCTTGGAGTTTGTTTACAGTCTAGTATCAGATATCTATTAAAGGATATCTTACTTATCTCAAAATCAACCAACATTTCTGGTTCCAAAGTGTTATTTTATGAAACTAAGATACAATATAACAACAAAGTCCAATTTTTTATTGTGAAACGTTCATCATATTTCAGTCATTGTATAAAATATTAAAATTCTTTCATTTCCATTAGTTTAAATTTGTATTTATAATTTGTATTTTTTATTTTTCCAATTCATTTCTATTAAATGAGACTTTTTGTATTTGAAATTAGTTTGTAAAATATTGCTTACATTTGATTTCACTCTCATAATCATGAAAATGCAAGAGAATGGTCGACCTACACATTTCGGATTTTTAAAAAAACCCTTTCAAAAGACAAATCCTACAATGCACATATTTTACAAAAAATAGTGAAAAACCAAAATGTCCCCATTATAATTCCGATATTTAAAATCGAAACTAAAAATTGCAAAAATATATAGAAACAACTAAATTCATTTAAAGAAAAACTAATTAAACAAATAAAAAAAATTAAAAATCCAATATTTTATATTTTGGCAATCTGTTGAAATATTAAGATTTTGAAAAAAACATCTTCCTTAATGTAAAATAAAAATGGTAAAAAATTTAAAATAAGTTATAATAAAAAAATTCATAAGATAACAATAGTATAAATAAATTAAAAAATTAGATTTCTAAATAAAAAAAACTGTGCAAAGAAAAAAAAATCTTATACCATCTTGGCCGTGCGGCTTTGTTGTCAAGTAAATTTTTCTTAATTAAATGTTACTTAGAAATATTACAAAAATATATATAAATATATACAATATTATATATATGTAAATATAAATATATACAAACTACAGATGCAAAATGGTCTTATCTTTTAAAATATGGATAATATTATATTGTAAATGTAGATAAGGTTTTTAATAAAATGTTATTAAACAAGAAGATATATTTTATACTTGATTTATGGTCAGTGCTGAAAGGTTAGACCAATAAAAAAATGTTATACTTATATCTTTCTGTAAGAACATAGATTATGTGTGTAAATTCCTGAAACATTAAAATAAATTTAAATGAGTAATGTATTTACTTTTTCATTTTAATTTCTTTTTCCTAACTTAAAAAATTTATTTTTATTACTATTTTTTTAAACGATTTTTTGTAGTATGATCAAAATGTTTGGAAAATTAAGAACAGGATACCAGCCCTGACTCACACACACACACACACACACACACACACACACACACACACACACACACACACACACACACACACACACACACACACACACACACATACACCATAGGAGTTTTTGCTGATAAGTTAGAACGATACAATATATTTTAAAAGATAAGACCATTTTGCATCTGTAGTTTGCATATATTTATATTTACATATATATAATATTGTATATATTTATATATATTTTTGTAATATTTCTAAGTAACATTTAAAAAAAGAAAAATTTACTTGACAATTAAATTTCGATTTCCGTTCTATATTGCATGATTGAAAGGACTCCTAACCTCCTAACTTATTCAATAAAGTTTCATAACTATTTCTGTCCAAATAACAGAATGAAATGAATGATAAAATGAAATCTTTGGAAAATTTTAATAATAAAGAATAATTTAAACAATTATCACTTCTAACATTGCTACTATGAAATTTAAGCAATAATTATAGTCTTTTAATCACTTACATCTAATGAATAATCAAGTTAACCATTATAAAAGCGCGAAAAAAAGGACAACATATGTTTGTAAAGTGCAAATATTTGCTAATTCCAAGTCAACACACGCGGTCGGCCATACAAATATCCCAACGATATTTCTAAATGCATCACAATTATCTAAACAGTTTTTGAGCAATCTCTCTGTTTATAATTTATAATTTTAGAAACATTTCGCAATATAATTGCAGATTGCATATGTAACTGATCTGGTTAACAATTAATTCAATAGACTGCTAGAAAAAAAAGAAGAAGTAATAAACAACAAATTTTAAATCAAACGGTAAAAGCACAAGTGTTACAAGTCAATCAAAATACAGAAAGCTTTTTCATTTATAAAATATGTATTTATTCGAGAATACACTGCCCGTCATAATTTATCCGGCACATATTTTTCTCCAAAATTTGAACTTAATCATAAATATTGAATATCGTACTTTCGTTGAAACGTAAAATTTTTATATGATATAATTTTTTTTTAAGAAATAAGATTCCTTGTAGAAGAAGATAAACCGGGTTTAAGTTGTAAATTACGTACTACTAGCGCGATAGCAAAATCAACATAATCAACAAAATTTAAATGATAACCCTCCTTTAATTTTTCAAAGGTATCTATTTTGGTTTTTAAAAATCTTTTTGTAACAGAGAAATCTTAAATAATAGGAGTATTCATGATTTTTGTGTTACCCCTGTTAACTCTGTTAGGTCTTGTTAGATCGAGAAAAATGATGACGTAGACATGTAAGAATCGGCTAGTTAACATTGCTCGATCTAACAGGCCAGGGCCAATGTTAGTTGTTAGGTTGAAAATGTAGTCACTTTGTTATCCGTTAGAGCGTAGGTAATCAACATGGCAGCCATGAATTTAACACCTGTTTTTTGATTACACGTATTTTTATTCTTAAATAAGCATTAATTAAATCAGACCAATACATTTATTTTGTTAATTTCTTACCTGTCCTTATACTCTCATTAATTATAGATACACCCCCATCCTATAGAGTTTTAGGCTGTTAGATGTTAGGTTACAAGTTAGGTACGTCGGCAAGAATTGAAGCGTGTCTTTGTTATTACTTTTCGAGTACATATGTACATAGCATTTTGAATGAAAGAGTTGATTCATTTTCCTTTTTCTTAACTTCTGGCATCTTACAATTTAACACAAAAGAAACCCAAAGCAAACAACAACAAGGCTTCAGGGACTGTTATAGCTTTATTTTTGGTTCTACCAATCGCTACGCGCAGCCTTGCGGAAAAATTAACGTTTAACATGCTAAGAAAAGAAGGGGGCGTTCACGATCGTACTAGACTTTTCTCTATTCGAGTTAACACGAGTTAAAAACTTACAAACATCGTGGATAACCCTAATATGAGCCGAGAAAAAAACTATTTTGAGTAGTGTGGTGATTAGTGACCGTTTGTCGATGATTATTCAGAAATCGTGAGATGCGGTCTGGTGTGACGTAGGTTTCAGAAAAACATTTTCTCTTTCGTGCCAACGTTTCGATCTTTATTGAGATCATCTTCAAGGCCTGGGATTTACAAATATTGTTTAAATTTAACAAATACGGATGTGGAAAAAAGAGAATTTATACAATGCAAAAAGAAACCTTCAAAATCCAACGTATAAAAACATAAACAGCAATATCTCACTGGCACTCTCAACACGACACGCAAGAATGGCACGCTTACGCAGACAACAAACACTTTGAGTGAGTAGAAATACTTTGATTGAATATAAAATATATTTTTTTTTGCATTGCATAAATTCACTTCCTACATGTATTTGCTAAATTATTATTATTGTTGTTTGTAAAATAGGAATGTTGTAATTGATATAACGACAAAATTAGATATACTTAATTTGAAATAAACTACAAAAAATTGGAGTGTCCTGTTCTGACACTTCTCTACTAAAATGGTGTAATTGTATAAGCAAAACCATGAAATAAATTGTTAGTTAAATTTTATGAGCAAAACGATGAAATAAATTGTTAGTTATATTCATTATATCGAAAAATGGTATTCCGGTGTTTTGATCAATTTTCTACCTAAAAACATTAAAATTAAAAAAAAATTAAATAAAAACTGATGAATTTTTTATCTCGGTTAATTTAGCTTATAATAAAATAAGTGTAATTAATATAATGACAATAATACATGTGGTTTGAATAAATATATGAGTGTCCGGTTCTTTTGTCTTCGACTGTACTCGATGCTACCCGACGAAAATCTGGACAGTGGGGATCGCAGAGCGTAGAGTAGGGTAGCGTTGCATCGGGCAGATATAGACGGGGGTAATACCATCTTATAGAAAAATGGACTTTGGATTTGTGTCAGGTAGCATCGGGTAGCGTCGCATAGCGTTGCATCGGGTGTGTTCCCGGCTGTATTCTCTTATCAAGATATTGGGATGTAATACTGATGTAAGTTGCCTTTTTTCACATCCTACGTGTATTTGTAAAATTTAAACAATGTTTATAAATCCCAGGCCCTGAGGATGATCTAAAATAAAGATTGAAACGTTGGCAGGATGAAGAAAATGTTTTTCTAAAACCTAAGTCACACCAGACTGCATCTTACGATCCCCAAAGACCATGTAATTTTAATAGCCTATGGTTTTTACATATTACAGTTATTTTCAACTTCAAATAAACAACTATTATTGTATTTTATGTTGAATTATAAAAATTAGTGCATAATACAACAAAAAGCGATAGAAACTGTTAATATCCCATTATAAATAGATGTCAGCGAAGTTCTTCAACTTTTAACTACATTCTTTTGAGTGGTCCGCCGCTCCTCATTATACGAGGCGCAACGACGATGTGGTCAGGTAGGAAAAAGGAGTGGCTTTTCTAGTTGAGAGGCCCTTTTTTATCGTGGCCTCATCATCAAGTGGAGCCTCGACAACGACAGTGTTACTGCAGGCTTCGTAACGCATGAGGACGGTATCCACTTAAACCCTGGTTTTTCTCCGTGTCAACAGCAGGGAAAATCCGAGAGACAGCCGGCCGGAGATAAGACGACGTCTCTACACTGCCGGCCGTATAAACAATGAGAAAAATTGCCTTTTTCGAGAGAGACACGCAATTTATTATACGTGCTTTAGGGGCCCTTCTTCCTACCCTGGCTACAGTTGTCTGGAATTTATTAACGTTACAATTGCTAATTTATCTAAACAAAACAACAATATCATATTCGCTATCTATGTATAGTAAAATTAATAT